ACCAACATGAATTGAAGTACAAAAAGAGACCGAAGTATGCTTTCTCTAACGTAGTTGTTGACAACCATTTCGAACTGAACGACGACTAGAGGGGTGTTTTGTTCGGGCAATCGGGGAAATGTGTCAGGAGATTACCCGTAAAACGGTGATCAACCCTCAGGATGATCGACAGGAAGCAACCTTTCAGATTAAATATCGATTGATTTGAGCCTTGTCAGACGGTCGACAAACTCTGATCAATCGATTCAGTTTCCCTATCTTATTATATATGAATAAATTTGTAATTATTAAAAAATCCCTCTGAAAAAGTAAATGATGAGGGGGCTAACATGTACTTTTGTATGTTTATGATAAGGGGGTCTATAATATGAATAAATGCCACATTCTCTTTACTACTCCTTATTGTGCTCTCTCATCTCTCTTCTAACTCTCTATACTTTAGGTCTGTCCTCTAGACACTTTGGGATTCAACATCTTTAATGGTGTGGTGGGTGTGGAAATATTTCATCAACAAGAATAGGAGCTCAACAACAACAGCCGAGAGAATCCAACTAGAGTAACACAACAGAAGAAACATGCACTTGAAAGATCATGAAAGAATTTGTCTAGCAAGGCATGCAAGGCTTGAGGACCCAGATCACCAACCATATATTAGGTTAGTTTGTAGAAGTGCTCAGAGAGCTCGTTGTTCTATCGGTGGCCCCATTTACAGAGGGAGAACCAACCCAATTGGAGGCACTCAATCCCCCTCAAAAGGAACCACCGACAAACAACATAACAAGAATGATTCACCTATAGGAGAAGCTTGATGACGTGTTATATTAAGACAATGTTGAATCCGCCCCTGTCGAGGAGAAGAACAGACCAACGTGAATTGAAGTACAAAAAGCGACCGAAGTATGCTTTCTCCCTAGCCACTTCAAAAACGTCAGATGACGCCCAAAACTATTTGGTCATTGTCTTGCTATCGCCTGGCCGAATCATATGCCTATCACATTTGGATCAAAGTATTGAATCAACAAGAGGTGTTGAACCTCGATTAGTGCCTTGTGATCTCTGAGATTGCTAGAGATTGTCTTCACTTTCTTTACCTAACATTCTACCGATGCCGCGTCGATCCCTCGACCACTTGTGCAGGAACCCACCAGAAACTTTGCTTTCCAATCTTTAATCATATTCTCATGACCCACCAGATCGAACTTGGACTGGCGACAAATTGAACATAGTCTTCTTTACCGATTCAGAAAGATAAAAAAATGGTTGAACATATCAATCGACTAAGGGATTTTCATTATTCGGCAAAAGAGGAAGAAGTTCATTATGGAAGCCACAAAGTTCTGAAGAAAACTGAGCAAGAACAACCTCGTATTGCTGATAAGCGATCGCAGCTCCTTACTGATTGATAACCGAAGACAAATTTTGAATTGGTTCTTAAAAAAAATCAAGTCGGGAGAAAAGCGACCCGTCGCTCGCTCATGGTTGACTGTCGGCCAAAGTCAGATAGAAGGTTCAACAACGTAAAGACTCAGAATCTCTTCCACTTGTGCTGCAGAAATAATCGAGACCTCTAAAGCTAAGATCAATCCAAATGATTCTTGGGAAAATCTCTGCCTCATATGACCATAACAGTTCACATGAAGAAAAAGGGAAGGAAGGAAGGTGAAGAGAGACAGTGAGTCACAAGAGGAAGAAGAAACTTGTGATACTCTAACCACACACACATGTATGAATATACATTTGCAAAGGAAAAAGAAACGCCACCGAAAAGACTGGTGCGACGGGAACTGCGCTGTACTTGAGAAAAAGCAATCATTGCCGAAAATAAAAAAAAATTGCATTTCATTTATTCTTTGTTTATTTACAAAAAATGAAGGAACATCATACCAAACCTTCAAATAAAACTAAAAAAGAAAAACCTAACTAGGCAGTTGTTAGTGGCTTCATCTGAGAAAAATCTTCGCCGACGCAGCCGCTCATACATAAACTCACCACGACTTAAAGAGGTCATCCTAACTACCCTCGGATGGGAGAAAAACATCAAGCTCTCCTCAAAGTGCTTCAACTTCTTATTCCACTTGATTGACTCTCTCTAGGACCTTGGCAACTCTCTCACCACTATTCCCCCAAGGTTATACCAAGAGACAAAAAAAGTGCTCCTCCATTTTAGCAATGCGACACACTAGAAAATCAACAAACACTCAACACCCCCCAGGTGCCTCCTCCTTTGTTGTTGTGCAGGGAGAGACTTGGCAGCCCAAACCCTTGCTCTGGCTGAGAAGAGGATTCTCCCCCATCCTCTAGACCACAACACCCACCTTCATGGTGCCCTACTCCATGGTTCCCTATTCCGTAGCAACATGCCCCACAACATCCACTCCCTCCTCTGTAGCTTGATCAACGATGGGTGCATTTCCTTAAGGGTCGACATCAGTGTATAATCAGATGGAAGTGATTATCAGAGCTCTGATTGTTGCAAAATAATTACTTAAAGGCATGAATCAAGCTACGTTCCCAAACTTTGACACCATTCAGAGGTGGTGTAAGAGACGAGGTTTTCACCGGTCTCCTGTAATCATTTACCCACGGAGGAAAGGCCATCCTTTCATGACTAAAGTTGCATCCCGGCTTCATCAGGTGCCTTCTAGAGCCAACGAGAAGTCATAGTCCACAAAACTGGTTGAACACACATTCCTTCCCTTTGGGCAGGAGTGACCGCTTCCGCCGGATGCCCTAGAAGTCGATCGTCGGGACACCCTCCAATCACCTCCACAGATCTCCCCTGTGATGAGGCTGTGGGGAAATCTTAAGGCCTAGTTCAATCTTCGTGTTCCCTCGCTCATGACTCCTGCATAATCCTCTTCTTGCTCAACTCTTCCACGAAAACTTTGCTCGCTAGTTTCCGCTTCACGACAAGTTTGCGAGCACCTTCCCGCATATTAACCAAGTTTAAAAGAGCCTAAACAAGCACCAAAAAACATAATTCTAAAATTCATTCGACCATTTGAGTGGTTAAATAGTCTTATAGTTTTGCAAAATTATGATAAAGCCGAGCATTTCAATGAGATACATCCAATGAGTTATTTATTTATTCTTAGTTCAAGCTACCTAAATATATTCAAATATGAGAGGATTGAGAGATACCTATTTGTAGGACCCGATGGAGTATTTGGAATAAGTTTAGAAAAAAAAATCAAATTGTTGCCTTTGAAGTGTATAAATAAAGGACAATCCTTATACTATAGCGATAAACTTAAATCTTGATATCTGGCCCAAGTTAAACATTATTATTTTTGACATTTGTATTAGCTACATCAATTCTCTTCATTTATTCACATTATCAAAAAATTTTAGAGCTTAGCTTGTCATCACCCCCCAACAATGCTCATTGTCAACTGACACCAATGCCCACCGTCAACTATTTCTTAGTAATGGTTAGTGAACACTATGATCACCTATCATTATTCACCACATGATATTACTTATTGATAAATGTAGATTAGAGTTGTCATGTATCATTGAACCTTGGTAATTGATTATCATCAATGATCATTTTTGCCTAACAGTGGATGCTAATGGTCAATTGATGTTGACATCCATCATAACTTATTGCTCATGGCCAATCAACACCAAGCTGTAAAAATTTCCCATTATTCTTCACTTGATTTTGTCCACTTCTATTTATTGAAAGACAATGATCATTCATTAATATTGCCTAATATTTGTACTTGATGCACAACCTCGCTCTTCATAATTGAATGACATTCACTCCCATAAGGAGAACAACCAAGCAAATGACATTCTAATTATCTAAATTTAATGTCTTCCAATAGTAGACAACATCTTGTCATTGATATTTGATGCCTTTCTTGTCATGTTTCTTGTTGCACTCAAAAGAGAACAGTAACCTTTTGATAATCTCCATTGACTTAGATCATACAATATCCAACTCCTAACGTTTGTTTTGATCATCTTCTACTAACAATTGACCAAATGTTCATCATTAATTTATTGACATCAATATTCTATAACATTATATATCCCTTAAATAATGTTCAAAGTCGATCAATGGCTGCTAACAATTAATTATTAATGTCTCTTTCCATCATTTGCTAACACTTGTTAGCCCCTAATATAGGACAACGAACAATCTATTTTATTTGATATCCCCAAATGTCTTATATCACTTGATGTTTTACAATCTATCAATGTCTATTGACTTCCATTGAATAAAACTCCCAACACTCATTAACGCTTTTTGCCTAAAATCTTTGAATTTTGTATAAAATTCCTAATCCATGTCATTAGCCTTTTACACCCTTGATTGTCAACTTAAAAGAAAATCTTTTAATTATTTGGATTTCTACATCATGTTGGTACATTCTCTATTAAGTTGGAATTGTAGATTTTTGTAACTCCAAACCTCATCCAATGAATTTATTTTAAATAGGCAAGACTCATAATCTTTGTTTTATGAAATTTTCATATAAAAAATCTAGTTGTTCTTTATGCCTTTAATTTCTTATATCACAACATCCCTCCCTCCCTCCCTCCCTTCCTCCGCTCTCTTTATTTTTTATTGATTTTTGTGCAGCCTAAAAGCTAAAACTCAATCTTGTGTTCATGTTTTTAATTAAATCTTAATTATGTTTTCTATTTAAAAAATTAAAGTAATCTAATTTGTAATCCTAATTATTTTACTAATCCCAAATAAGCCCAAGTAATTCTGTATAATTTATCCCCCTTTTATTTAATTTTATAAATTATCAATTTATATAAAATTAAAGATATTTTAGATTCATTAATAAAATATATTTTTAACCTTTATAAAAACAAATTAAAAACTGTAAATTAATTATTTTCTAACAGTGATTATTAAAATAAAGTTGACCCAAATGAATCTCACTAAATAGAGATAAAATTAGAGTTATATGTGATTTACAGTAGACACTGAAAACTACAAAAAGCGAGGTGGTGTTGTTACTATTATATGCGTTTCAGTGCAACAAATGACCGCTACCTTATGAACACCCGGACTTTTCAAGGGCGAGTTCCCGGCCACTCACGGGAGCCGCACTGCGGTCTTTGATTTTTCGTCCCGGTAATGTCCGTCGAAGTCGACGGCGAAGGAGGCGGTGGCGCCGCCTCCTTCCGGACTTTTCGTTCCCTTATCGAGAGTGCCGACCGGAAGTTCGCACGAGTCCGCGACCTCCCTCCATACGGCCGCGGCCCTATCCACATCGTCTACTACCGCAAGGTTTTTAAAGCCTACACCCGTCTCTGGAGATTCCAGCAGGAGCATCGCCGGGATCTTGTTGCTGCCGGCCTTAAGCGGTGGGAGATTGGCGAGATCGCCTCGCGCATCGGCCAACTCTACTATGGTCAGTACCTACGAACCAGTGAGGCGAGGTTCCTCCTGGAGTCTTACATCTTCTACGAGGCCATACTCAGCCGCAGATACTTCGAGCCACCGTTGGCCACGGGGGCGGATCTAGGGCTGAGGTACAAGGAACTGAGGTTTCATGCTCGGTTCCTCCTTGTTGCGTTGCTGCTTAATAGAAAGGATGTGGCCCTGAATTTGGCTGAGAGGTTTAGGACTCTAGTGGAGGACAGCAAATCAGTTTTCCGGGTAGTTTGGATTTGGTCTCTTGCTCTCTTTTGATTTTACTGTTGTTTCTATTGTTTTTATTTATTCTCGTTCTTGTTCGGGGTAAGCATATCTGGTTTTGCGAGCAGATTTCGTTTTTAGGGAGAATTGGGAGAATCTTCTTGAACTTCTAAGTTATTTCAGCTATGACTTCATATTTATGCCGTACTTATGCCATTTCGACTTTCTAGCCTTGTGAATTTGTTGGCTAAAATGAAAATAGTTTTATGATTATGATTTTGGCAAGATTTTCACACATAATCGGAATTGCCACTTAATTATTTGGGTTAATTGCTCCTCATTTCTGTTCGAGTAGGAATAGGGCGTTGATAAAATTAGCGATAACCTTCTTTCTTTTTTCTTCTAGTTCCACATAGGTATCGCGTTACGTTGGTGAACACATGCTAACCATTTAAGATATAAAACAATATAAAGGGTCTTTCGTTCAAGATTGAATGCATCCATACACATACATGTAAAAGGATTCCGCTCTCGTATTTTAACTTCCTTGAACCTTTTATAATAAATGGATTTGAGACTGAAAGCTTTTGCTTCTGACAGTTGGAATTCCGGAAACAAATGTTATAGCTTACATTTCCCTAACTTCTCTGCCCGCAACACTCCACAGTCCAGCTTGCAACTTCTCCGCACTCCTTTACATCCTAAGGCCTTAAAACCTCCTATTTCTTGAACATAGTAGTTTTGGCACTGTTATTGGGGATCAAGATTGATGGCGGGAAGCGAATCTGGATGTTACTACAGCTGAAATTGAGGGGACAGCAGCTGGAAGGAGAACAAAGCCGAAGTGTGTAAGCTTGGAAGGGAAGAAAACCAGGTACGTAAGCTTGGAATGGAAGAAAACCAGGCGTAGAAGTTTCAGACTGAATGGGAAAGGAGTTCCTGCATGGAAGAAGGCACCACCACCTGCACTCAATTAAGATACGGGCAGTACACCACTTGAAAGAGGATACAACTCTGCAAACTTAGAGGAAACAGAGACTTCTATTATCAGATTTCATTCAACTCAAAAAACTATATTTTAACAACTCTAGACCAATATTTATATACAAAAGTATTCTCAGATTTCATTATCTCAAAAGCTATTCTTTTACAAATCTAGACCAATATTTATATTCAAGAAGAACCTAGGTTCTAGTCTAACTAGCCCATAAACACAAGGGACCCGGACTGGACAGATTCAAGGATTAAAGGAAACATCCTGCAAGGTCCAATTGTTAGACTTGGATCGGTCTTTGTTTCAGTCGAGTAGTCTTGGGGACAACAAGACACTCCGGTGTCATTGTCCCTGATTAGCAGGAGAGTCATCTTCAACAACTAAAACATCTAGTTCTTCAAAGTATCTTTGAAAGTGAAGGAGATGTTATAGTCATTAGGCAAATTAATTTTGTGAGTCTTATCATTAATTAACTTGATTCCAAACGGACCATTAGTTTTGGGCTTAAGCTTTCTAAATGACTCAATTGGGAATCCTTACCTTTTTTAAACTATACTCCTGCCAAATCCTCTTTCTTGGAAATCATTGGCTTATGAGATTTATTAGGCTGTCTTTGATACCTGGTATTTTGCTTATTAATCTCTTTCTATATTTGCTCATGCAATTATTGAATATCCTTGACTCTAGTATCAACATTAGTGCTATGCTTAAGGATAGGAACCAACTCTAGGGGAGAAGATTTTCCCATAACCACTTCAAAAGGGCTACGATTCGTCGTTGCAAGCAAGCTTAATCTGAGGCAAATTAAAGTTTCACTGTTGAATGTTCTTGCTCACAACATATTAGGTGTGATTGCCCAAAACACGGTTCATGCATTTTGTCTGGCCATTCGTTGGAGGGTGAGTAGTTGAATTGAATAGGAGTCTTGTAATCAACTTACCCACAACATCTTCCAAAAATAACCCAAAAATTTTACGTCTAAATTAGACGTAATGATTTTGAACATTATGAAGCCGAACTATCTTTCTAAAGTAAATGTTAGCAATATCAGTGGCATCCCTAATTTTATGGTGATATTCAATATGCTTCATTTTTTAGAAGTTGTCTACCACAATTAAGAAAATTCCTATTTCTTTGTGTTTGGGGAATAAAATTGTATTTACATCTACCCAAGGTGGTATATTGAATACATATTTAGTACTACTTGACGCACCTAACCACATCTTGACCAAAGCAAGTTCTCTGGAAAGAGTTTTATCTTGGCAAAAATGCTGAGCTATTCTCTCATTGTGACACTTTTGTAAGATGGTCTTCCGAAGTGAATATTTGCGTATACATTGTTGGTCATTAAAGAAGAAGAAAATTTAGTTTTAAGAAATTGGCCGTGGGATCTCTATTGACACCAAGCCCAAATCTCTTGAAAATCAACACTAGTAGAATGTGGATCTTTTGTCACTTCAGGACCCTTGACCTTTCAACTACATAGTCACAGTCAATAAATGTGGCAGCTCAACACAATTTTCATCTGATTAAGACTCTCTTACTTATACATAAGCACATAACAATGCCATAGAGCTTCATGATTAGTAAAGAGGATGAACTCTCTAGCAAGGAGATAATAACTCCATTGGCTCAATGCATTAACAATGCCATAAAGCCTATTGTCATATGCGTAATACTTTCTCTTGGATTTGTTCAACTTTTCATTGAAAAGGATGATGGAATGTCATCATTGGCTTAGCACAACTCCAATTCCTATATTGGGGGCATCACACTCCACATGATACACTTCCCTGAAATTATGTAAAGCAAGTGTAGGGCACGAGTAAATTTTTTTGTTTTAAGCATCAAAATTGGCTTGTTCAAATTGGATCATGTGAACTGATCCATCTAAAGGAGCTTAGTTATAGAAGCGGCTATAGAATGAAATTCATTATTAATCTTTGGTAGAATAAAATTAATCTTTGGAATTGTTGCAGTTGGAAGCGATTGTGGACGGGGCATCAAATTTGTCAGTTCCCATGTTGATGCCATTAGTTGAAATGATGTTGCTATGAAAATTAAATTTGGTTTTTAGAAAGTGATACTTCTAATGTCCATAAAACATCTCAATTTTATGTATTTTGAAAACTAGATGCAAAGTTATGATAATGATCTTCTATTGAATGACAGACACTAGAATGTCACTAAAGTATACAACTATGATTTTTTACAATAAAAGATCCAATGATATGATTCTTCTGACGCATAAAGGTGCTTTGAGCATTTGACAAGTCAAAAGGTATTACTGCTACTCATATAACCCGTCATGAGTTGTGAAAGCCATTCCAGATTTGGTGATTGCTAATGCGTAAATCAATCTTAGAGAAGGTGGTCATTTTATGTAGCTTATTTGGAAGGTCATTCAACTTTGGAATATGAAGTTGGTTTTTAATGGTGGTTTTTTTCATAGTTCTACTATTAATATATATGTGCTTTGAGCTATCCTTTTTTGGCATAATCAAACGAAAACAACATTTATAGTGGAACTTTCATTGATTAAGTTATTGGCTATCAATCCTCCATCTATTTCTGCAACTTCTTGTATTCCTCATCTGCTTCTGGTGGCTTGATCGGTTCAGGATTACTACTTCTGGAATGGGGACGATAACTTGTCGAATATCACGAACAACGAGCCAAATTGACAGCCCTACACGTTGTTGTTTATGACATCCTATAAGTAACAATCTATTAAGGGTGGTAAATTGGATGTCACGTTGTTGTTTATGACATCCTATAAGTAACGTATCAATGGTTTTTCTGTCTCTTGAGTCGGCTTTTCAACCCCATTTGACTCCAAACCACTAAAGAGTGTCCAATTGAATCTTCCTTGACAACTTGCAAAAATGTTGCTCGTGATTTTTAGTCAGCCGATTCTCTTGTACTTCAGCCCCCTTCCAAGGTGGTAATTAGAGGTGCTTCAATTTCTTAGTGAATGAATATATGTTCATTTAGTCATAATAAAGGGTCTTACTATCATACCATTAAGGCATACCCAAAACATGACAAGCATTCACAAGTTCTACATCGCCTTACACTTGTTCTTTCTACTTGTTCCCAATGGAGGATTCCTTCAAATAGCCCTTGTCGATGCTGCTTTCACTCCCTTTCCTAAACCAAAATAACACATAGGGTTGGGAATGATTTTTACCTGGAAATCCCAACTTATCCACCATTATGCTGGACACAATATTTTTATGGCTACCTCCATTTATAATGAGGCTACATGCATTTCCTTTCATAGTGCAACAACTGTAGAATGTTGTGCCGGAGCCGGTGGTAGTCCTACCTAGGCTTGTTTTGGTGTATCCTCTAAATCACAAGCACCTCTCCCTCGTCAACTGGGAGTTGAATTCATTCGCATTCATATTTATCTCTGCTTCTTGGTCTGCAAATTCCTTATCTAAGTTTTTTTCAGTGAAGGAAAATATTGTTTAATTGGGGTAATTTGCTATGATCTGCCCAAAATCATTGCATTTAACGCACTTCCCAGCAAGAAGAGTGTTGGAGGAACTACCCCTGCCATATTTGGCGATTTTCTCATAACAAAAAGCTGATTTGAAGCCCATGGTCTGCCCTTCTCCGCTGGACCCATCCATTGCCAAACTATGCTTTGGTGGATTAGTAGCACACCATATTTGCTTCTCTGTCTTGAGAACCAAGTTCTCGACATCAAAGAGTGACCAATCAGGCTATAATTGATCCACATTTTATAGGTTTTTTTTGGCTCCATCAACTCACATTTTAGCATGAATTGTTTGAATTTAATGATGTACTTTTCCACGGATTTTTCTCTTTGTTGGAGATTATGTAGTTTCAAAAATAGATTTAGGTGGTAATGTATGGAAAGGTATTTCGTTGCAATTAGTTCTTCATTTTGAGCCATTTAGTGATCTTGCTTCAACCTTCACGTGTCGTATTCGGTTCTAATTCTCCCACCACAAAGAAGCATTATTCCTCGAGTATAATGACTCCAAATTTGGCTCATTGACCTAGCAGAAGGTGGAATATGTTTTTATTCAAGGACGCGCCTAAACTTTGATTTTTCCCCTTATGCATTCTAAAGATGCTAAACTTCTTTCCTTCTTTAAAAAATTAAGAAAAGCAATATTTACATACTTACCCTTTAATTCATATGTATTCACATATCTAGCACCTAAACTTTGATTTTTACATATATGCCACTTTCCCTATGCATGAAGAGTTGTATTTCACTTTTTAAAAGTTGTGATATGAAAGATTTGGGTGGTATAAATGTAAGAAGTTTAGGTGTTAGATATGTAAATCCATAAGAATTGGGTGGTATGCATGCAAATGCCCCTAAAGAGAAACGAGAATAATTGATAATATTCTTCTTTTCTTTTGGCTACCGACACTAAAATAAGGGAACCTACTTAAAACTTTGATTAAGAAGCTCAATTGTCAAATTAGCACATTTTTGGCTTTGATGGAATCTTCTCTCTCCCTATACGTCCATCACATTCTTTAATGATGGGATATGATTAGAATTTTGCAAGCACCGCGCCCTTTCTGTTGATGTAACCTTCATGTAGTCTTATATGCTTCCATGCATCCAGTTGAACTTTCTGTTGGACCTCTTGGATGAATGACAATAGCAACGAAAGCATTGACCATTGACTCGGCAGTGAAACCTTTGAATTGCTAAGCATTCACTTTGATAAATCCCTTTATTTATTGAAATGCAGCTTCTACATTGTCATATGCCATGTTGAACTCTTCTAGTTTGTGATCCCCAATTTTTTATTATCTTTAGATGTTGCCTTTAGGTAAGGAATTACTTGTTAATGCCTTTTGACAGCTTCTGACTGGTCCTAAAATGTCCACAAAATTTGAGCTCTGTATTTCATGCACGCACACATACATGACAACCATACTATTCTTATTTTTTTATCTGAAAGGGACATTTCAGATATCATATTGTTCTAAATAATGTTGCAAATATTTTCTCACTAACATTGCATTGAAATAACTTGTCTTCCAATTATCTTGAAAGTAACTTGGAACTTGAGAGAATTTATACTCAAATGTTCCTCTCAAAATTATGTCAACGGTGTACAGGAGACTAATTTTAAAGAATGGAAGCAAGTGCTGCAAGAAACTTTCAGGTTTTTGAAAGCTGAAGCATCATTTACAAATGCCAGGCCTCTGAGATACAGTTTATTGTTTGATGCCCATCCTTCTTCGCTTCCATATATTGCACGCTTACACAAACGAAGAGTATTGAAGCTTCAAGATGCTTTGTTGACAAGCTATCGGAGAACTGAGGTGTGACATTTTTCTGCGTGTTTAAGTATCCATTTTAATTATTGCATTCATTAAATTATCGTGGTTGTTTGTTTTTAGCATGCGGAATATATGAAATAAAAAGGATTTGTAATGTAATACAGAAAACTATTTGTAACTGAAAATTTATTCTGCTTCTAAGTTGGCATATTGATGAAATCTTGCAGATCAAAATCACAGAGCTTACTCTTGATAGTTATAGAATGATCCAGTGTTTGGAGTGGGAACCCAGTGGATCATTCTACCAAGTGGCTACTACAGAATCGAGTGATAACGGTGGTTGTAGTGATCAAAGTGGTGCTTCTGGGTTGATTGATATCAACCTTTTTGCAGACATGACAGATCCATCTCTGCCCCCAAATCCTCGCAAAGCTGTTATCTATCATCCTTCAGTTTCTCATTTGATGACGGTGAGTGTGGTATTCAAGCTCCTCTCCATTGAATTTTCTGAGTTTTTGTGGTGTTGATTGTGTTAACATTAACTATGCCACCAATGTATCCCACGGAATACAATATGATGCATGCCAGTGCTAGGGATTTAGAGCTTGTGAACTTTGGTCTTCTGGAAGATCAGGGAAAAATATTTATATAGTGGGATGCCTTTTTTGTTATTATACGCTCGCCTATGGATTCTTTGAATTTGATAAATCAAACTATGGGCTGATATTTCCAGGTAATTTCAACGATATGTGAAGAACTCTCTTCCGACAGCATTTTGCTAATATATGTCTCTGCATCAGGTTGTTCATCACTTACCAGTTGCTGTTATAATTTCATTCTTCTAATCACTATTCTGATATTATATTTGATTCACATCTCTGGTTATACTATTTAAGGAAAACCAGATCAGAGCATTCCTTCTGAAAAGAATTCTTCTCATTTAAAGCCCATTTCTCAAGATTCCTATAAGAATGGTGGTTCTCTCCATCAAGCTCCTGTTTATTCCTGGGTAAATTCTAGTGATTACTCCGAAGGTTGTGTATGCCTAGGTTCAAGAGGAAGTGGAGGTATAACTTTGTAGTTGACTGCATAAAATTGAGTTTCTATGCTCTCATTTGCTCAACACAATTGATTTTTTCGTTATGGTATTTTAAATTACTGAAGGAAAAAATGCGTTATGAATTTTATTTTCAATTGAGACTATTGAACAATAATATTTATTTCTATTTTCAGGAGTAAACAATTTATACCCAGACGATTTAATCCCTTTTACACGGAAGCCCCTTTTCATTATTATTGATAGTGAAAATAGCCATTCATTCAAGGCAGGTTTGTCAAAACTTTGTTGCTATTGTCTACGACATTTGCTCATGATATGTTTGTTGCTTGTTTTCATTTTGTCAAAAATAGTTTTCTCATTATACAGAAGCTCCTTTTGATTGCTTAAAGCTGGTTAAACATGCTTTAAAAACAATAAATTAATTGATTCTGTCATTAGTTGAATGTGGTTAGAAATCAATATTAATTTTAAACACCTACAAATGCCACATTTAATGCTCGTCAAATGCAATGATTTCATTTTCTCACACAAAATGAGTGAAAATGAAGTACTCATTTTTGAAAACATTTTTTATATTTGCAAACAACCAAATGAGTTATAACACATTTTCAGATGTCCAAATTCCCAACCTTAAATATAGGGCTTGCGCTAGCATCCCTAGCATTATTTTTGAGTAGTCGTGATTGATTTGAAAATTATCTTGTGTTTTGCTTGCATGATTAGCAAATTATTCAAATTCAATTACTTTCATAAATGATTTTTGTTTTTGATATTGCAGTTAACCCAAATCACAACAAACAAATATTATTATTGGAAAAGCCAATAGACAATTACAACCATGCACAAAAATAGAAAATAACAACAAACAAAATGACACACAAGACTATGGTGGTTATAGGGTGTCGGCGGCTGTAAGGGCATGGACCGGTGGTGACAAGGTGGGGAAGTGGAGCAGAGGTGCGGAAGTGCATGGGAGCAGTAGGTATTTTATGTCGTGCGGCAACAAAGGGGTTAGGTGGACTAGACAACAAAGAAACAACATCTAGGGACACTTTTGGGTGGCGGGAATAAGTAGGCTGCGGGGAAGTGGTTTCGGCTGCTGGAACAATGGAAAGGCAATACGGGGAATGATTTTGCGTTGGAACAGCAATGGGTGCACTTAGGAGAAATGAAAGTGCAGGGAACGGGGACTGGAATGCAGAAACTGCAGGAAGAACAGAGTCGGCAGTTGTCTCGTGCGACTGCAGCAGGAAACAATTGTAAATGTTCTATTACATTGGGGGAGGGGAATGAAGAATTAGAAAAGAGGAAGGGTGGGGTTGGGTAAATGAATAGAATGGGGAGAAGAAGAGAGAAGATCGGGAAGCTGAAGTGGGGAGAGAAGAAGCGATAAGGTCGGGAAGCCCTATAAATTTGTTTTATGAGGGAGGCGAGACTACTTGAGAGTTGAACGACAGCGTCGAGGGAACCGAAGGAGGGCTCTCGGGATCGTGTGGGTTTCAGTGGCTGCGGTGAGTACGACTAGGGCAAAGAGCGTAGCAGGTGTAGGTGTTAGTGTCTGGTTGCGATCGAGGAAGTCAAAGGGGAAGCTGTTGCAACGTCTGTAGTGAAGCTCGTGCGTTGTCAAGCAGGCGAGGAAGCTTGCGAGGGAGAGAGCCAGAGCCAGCTTTGGTGCGATCCGGTTCTCGCATAGGCGAGGAAGATGTAGCCTTCGTGCAATATAGGGCTCTACTGAGGTAAGAGCTTATTAAATTGAAAATTAGTAATAATTACCGAGGTAAGAGCTTATTAAATTGAAAATTAGTAACAATAATAATTAGATAGTTATAAATTTATGTAAATATATATTTATTGAATACATGTTAGACGTGATGACATAGAGAAAATTTAACATTTAAATAATGAAAAGCCAATAGTTTATTAAAATAATAAATTAATTAAATTTGATACCAAGTTATAGGATTTGAATTTTGGAAGAATCATCGTCAAGACAAATAACAAATTAATCAACAGTATTGTTTTAATATCTCTTCTAAATCAGTTGTATGGATTGTTATTAATGCTTGATTAATGCAATTGATTTTTTTATTATTAAATTTTATCGATCATTTCAATGCAAATGCTTATAGTCTCATATTATAAAATAATTAATGAATTATAATATTACATGTTGAGTTATATGAAATTGTGAATGATATAATCTACATAGAGTGATTGTATGTGTATGCTTGACTATGATGGAGTAACATCTTGATGGTACTAGTGACGGAATACTGAGGTGCAAGTGCACGTATATAGAAAAAGATATTGATATTGATATATCTTAATTGACATAATTTTTAGACGGTGTTTGTATGAATGTTATACATATATAAAACGATATTGATATACTAGTGATATAGTAAGGTTTCTTGATTAATATCAAATTTTTTTATTGATTTATTAAAAAGTTAATTAATATACATATTGGTTCATTTTCTCTTGTATTACTACGACTTAGGAGTATTAGTATTCACAGACTTGTTTAATTCATTATTATTTCAAATAAATTTTTTAGGTTAATTAAGTATTAACGATGAGCTCTAGAAGAGAACATTTACAGAAGACGAGGGTGACCAGTAATGAGGTAAATTTAAATATATTATTTTAATTTTTTTATTAGTGGTTCTTTCATCTGTTAAATGGTAACTGAATATAGAAAATTTACTTCACATCGTCAGACAATTTGTTCACATCTTGATTAATTCCAAACCCCTGACCAGGTCGTGACAACAATGGTTGATGTAGAAGGGGTGGAGGGAAGATAAACATCACTTGGAGACCAAGATACAATGAAGCACTTCACGGAAACCTAAGATACATCTCTCAAAGAGAATAAGAGACACCGACAGCTGTCCCGATTCAAAGCACGAGAAAAATTGCCCTACAACACGAAAATAACATGCTTATAAGACTAGGGTAACTAAGGGTTGGGTCTCCTCAGTCAGGCGACAATCCACGACAAGAAAGGATCAACCGACCCTTAAGATCCCTTGGGTTCAAGTGGTCCAGGCAACGGCTGCTGCCTTGTTGTGCATATGCCTCCTAACTGAGGGGAAGATGTCCCACATCAGTCTTGTGTGGTTGTGGGAGCTTCAAACTCATCTATCAAGCATGTTGAAGGTAGCAGAGCTGCTATAATCTCCAGGGGTTGAACGATCTTTGATGGTGGATCTAGAGGCATTTGGCTCCCACTGGCGACTGCACAGTTCTCCAAAACACTTGAGAAGGTTTCCCTACTAGTGCATAGCCGACTGCATCAATCCAATCATCTGGGGTACTTTGCTGAATTGAACTGGGCCCTCCTGCCAAGTATTTTTTGTGGAGTCTTCTAAATGTAGCCCTCTGGCTGGCTCATTCATATCTGACGCAAGGTCTGCCTGAACCTTCTCGAATGTTGGTAGGTATGACGGTAAGATGTCGATCACAACATCCTGTAATGCTCTCTATAGTGATTGGCCCTCTTATGGAATGAGAACCTCACTTGCTATCGTCCATCGTTACCAAAACAGATTCTGTTAGCTTCTCTGCTGGCAAGAACATCTATAATCTTAGACTCCACATAAGGTAAAAGGACTATGTGCTTGCCATCGTTGATGAAGAGTATGTATTCTTGAACTCATCAATGATAGATCTAAGAGAGTGTGAAATTTTTAGCGGCATTAGAGGTTTGAGTAGAAGGAGACGATGTATGTCTTTCTCTAATGGCAATTTCAAGAGATTGAGGGAGGGATGAGCCGGGTATGGCTTTTTTGCATTCACAAGATGATGTGAGTTGCTGATGTTGAGTGATCGGGTGGGAGAGGTTGACGAGAGCAAAGGGTCAAATGAGCCATTTAAGGTGATAAGCTGTGCAAGAATGAGAGCATGTAGGAGGAGAGAAACACTTGCAAAGTAGGGAGTATAAGAGTAGGGAGTATAAGAGATCATGCATAAATGGGTGTACAAGGGAGAGACATGTTTTAGGCTTTAGATTGTGCTCTTGTTTTTACGGTTTAGGATGCTCATTCCACATAAGTCAATAGAGGGGTCACGTTTAGCTTAGCATGGGAGCCGGGACGTTGATGACCTGATTAAAATTTTTAGTTTATATTTGTAGTATATGATATGATTTTGTTTTTTTAACATTAATAATAATAATAATAATAATAATAATAATAATAATAATAATAATAATAATAAAGTTAATTTAAAAATTCAACAAATAATAATAATAATAATAATAATAATAAAAAAAAAGTTAATTTAAAAATTCAACGGTATTACACATTTTGACCCTTGTAAATTCTTATTTGCTCAGAAATGTCGGTTTTGTGCTGTCACATTGAGCGTGAATACAACTTTTGACTCTCTGAAATTCTCATTTTTCATATATTGATTTCATTCTTGTTCATATTTTTGCGCTATTTTTTTTGTCTTTTCTTCTTTTGATGCATTACACAATGCAACGTATTTCTTAGATATTGTACATTCCAATGCATTGTCTTAGTTCATATGTGTAATGAACAATAATTGAATTGAGTTCACTGCAATCACCCCATCTTGGATTGATCTTTGTGCAATGCTGTTCCCATCATCAGTTGCCATTGTTGCATTTGAGCGATATGAGTTGAGTCAGTTTAGAGGTCAACATGATAATCTCTTAAAACATGATTTGGGGGGCAATAAAATGCTCAAGATTGTTTAACCAGAAAGATAATAAGATATTTGTTATGATAGACAAAAAGAAAGTGAAAAGCTCGCCATCACAAAAGATAATTAGTACATTGAATTGAATAAAGGTACTGTTGGCGAAAAAGGGTTCACTTCATGAGATGAGATGAAGAGTCAGTGAAACTAACATATTAAGCATCATAGAAATAGGCACGATAATGGGAATGTCACAGGCATGTTGCAAGAGGGTTGAATGGGAGGCAATGTACTATGCGTGTTTGTTGTGGTCAGTAGGCTTTCTTAAGCAACTCAATGAAGCAGGATAATAGGACTACATCACACAATGTGTGGTGAGGGTATGATGGTATGTGGCATGCAGTAGTTGGGCAAAGGGTCCTATTTGCATTAAGACACAAGCAGTTGAGTTCACTGTTACAGGACAGGTACAAGGGATTGGAAAGGCTAATAGGTATGTACATGTCTGGATAGAAGTGACGTCTATAACAAAATGATTGCGTGGGAACGGATTTTGAGGATGAGATTAGGACCTCTTGGGGTTAGTGAGGTTAAGCA